AGGTCTCTGCTCGGTCCTCAGGAAATCCCTCCTCGATGCCTGCAGTCTTCACGTTAAAGCCACCAGCACTTCAACAATAACTCCTGTGCTTAAGAGTCACCTTAGGTGTCCCTCGAAACGAACTTGTCCCTTGTGCGGAGGTTATGGGGATCCTTTTGCTACACTGAGGACAGGAGCAGGCTGCCTGAGGCAAAGCACGAGCTTTAGTGCCGGAACACGCAAACACAGGCACCGATGTGTGCCCAGCCTGTGCATTTCCAGGGAATCTTGCCTTACTCCAACCAGCACGTTCCTTCCCGGCGGTGTAGGGGACAGGGGGCATTCCTGACAGTGCCCGGGCTCCCACCCGTGGCATTTGCGGCGGGCGCCACGCTGCTCTCCTTCTCCCTTATCACTCACCTCCTCCTCCTGAGGCACCCGACCCCTCCAGCTGGATGCAGTGCTGCCGGAGCTCCCTTTCCCTTTCCTCACACACCCCTACGAAGACACCCGTCCACAAACCAGCTGCTCTCGGGGCTCAGTGACTGGTCTGGAGCCGCTGCGCTCCCGCGGGCAACCCGGCCCCGGCCCCGGCCCCGGCCCCAGGGGGGTGATGACGCACAAGGCTTCCCCCCGCCGCGGCCGCACAGCCCTCATTGCCGGCTCCCTCCTCACAGGTGCGGCTCCGGCCCGGCCAATCCCTGCTCCAGGGCGGGACAGCCCGGGAGCCGCTGTCCACGGTACTGAAGCCGAGCCGCGCTCTCCCCGAAGCCTCGGGGCGGTACCCGCGGGCGGAGGCAGTCCGGGCTCCGGCACAGGGCACCCTCAGAGCTCAGTCGGTCTGCAGTCCTCGCCAGAGCCGTTGCAACGCGGGTGGGGTGCCCGGGCCGGCGGGGTCGGCTCCCGCCCTCCAACGGTCAGCAGATGGCGCAGAGCCCCCGGGAAGCGCGGGCCGATGTGCGAGGACCATGGGCAGCGGAGTGGCCCTGGCCGGTGAGGACGGGCAGACGCGGCGGGCCAAGCCGGCATCCCGCCTGCAGCCCCGTCCCCGGGGCGGCCACAGTGGTGCCCTTGGTGGGGAGCAGCCCCGCTGTGAGGCTGCTTCAAACAAACGGGAGCGAGGGTGGGAGCGGAGCACGGCCCCCGGCGCCGCCCCCCACGCGGCGGGTAATTAAAGCAAACAAGCGAACAAACAAGCACGGGCCGAGCCGTGCTATGGGCCGGGGGCTCCGCGGGGCAGGCCCGGCCCGGCCCGGAGGAACGCGGCTGGCAGCCGTCGCCCGGCCCCTCTTCTCCTCCCGCCGGGCAAACATTAACGAAGGGCAAACGCAGCTATGTGCGAGCGGCTGTAAATCAATCCCGCCGCAAGGACACGGCCGGCAAACAACCGCGGCCCCAGCTCCCGCCCGGTGCGGCGGGGCACGACCGCTCCGGGGGCGGGCTGCGTTCCCATCCTCCGATCCCACCGGGCCGGGGCACCGCGTCTCGGGCCCAGCACCGCGCCGGCAGCTGCGCATCGGCCGCTGTCACCACCCACCGTGCGTGGAGCCAGGCCCGTGCCCGTCCCCGCGACGTCCGGGCGGCCCGGGCCGAGAGTGACAGGGTCTGTGCCCCAGGCCCACGCCGCTCTCAGGCTGTCATCGGCCAAGCCCCCGGTCGATGCCCTCCGCCTCCCTGATGCAAATGCGTTTATGCAAAGTTCCCGCCGGGTAAATATTAATCAGGCCGTAATGAGGCAATCGGGGCCGGGGAAGCATCGACCTTCCTTGGCGAGGGGGGCAAGCGGCGCTCATTAGATTTCATATTTAATGTGGAAAACGCTCTGATTACGGTATCGATTTCTTTACAGTTAATTTGGCGAGAATTTCTCGCCGGCTTCCCAAGGCTTCAGCTTCGCCGAGATTCAGACTGGGAGGGGGAAAGGAAACGAGGAGGGAAGAAGAGCTGCGACTACGGAAAATATCAGCCTGGGCACAGGCAAAGACCGAGCAGCTCCGGAGGGCCAGAATGGGCCCCGCTCCCCTCGCCCAGACGTGCTTGGGACACCGGAGCGGGAGGGTGCGCCTCGGCAAGGTGGCCCCTCCTGCAGCGGATCCAGAGAGGCCTCTGTGCTCCCTTGGACCCCCTCGCCTGCTCCTGAAACGTTTATTTGCCTCATTCCTCCCGCGGGGCCATGGCCCAGGGCACATTGGTTTTCCTGAACAAGAGGAGTCAGGTTCTGCCTTCTTTATCCCTTTCTATTTCCCTCCCTATTCGAAAATAACGTGGAATAAATTCCCCTTAAATCCCATCAGGCTGCAGAAGGGCTGTGCATTCTCTTTGAACTGTATTTTTGCTTTCGGTATCACTTCACCGCCCTGCCAAATGTCCATGACAGCGAGGGAAGGCAGGAAACACCATCTAACAGAGAAATGGCCGAATAAATAAATATTCAGTGATCGAGGGGGCGAGAGAGTGGGACAAAGGACAAGAGAAGAGAGAGGGGAAGGAAGATGGGATGAATAAGATGGAGGCTGGAAGAGGTCAGCTTTGCAATTAGCAGTTCTGCTTACATTTCAAGAGACAGCCCAGGAAGTGTCAAGACCTCAATCCTGCTTCCATGTAACTACCAATTTTTCCACTATTTGTCGCAGCTTCTGTAATCTGGGAGGTAGGAATCCCCCAGGGATGGCTGGAAGGGGCAAATACTCAAGATAAAGTGCCATGCAAGACCGTGAGGCCTGAAATAAGAAGGCTCCATCCCCCTCACCACCTCCCGGCTGCTCCCTGCAGGAAATCAGGAAGGGAAGAAATGAAGGCAGCGAGGGCTCTGCTCTGGCTATTTATCTACCTGATAATTCTCTGAACGCCCAGGAGCGAGTTATAATTTGGACATGAAATTTAATTTGCGTCGGCTGGAGTAATTTATAGTATTTTGAATTGATGTTCATACATCAATATCAGCTGGGGCAGATTTTTACCACTTAGTAAGATCATCACACAGTTAAAACGTGTACAACCCGGGATCAATACTTGCTGCATGTGCAGCGCGGTGCTGGCAGCGCAGAGAGGCGCGCAACCTCCGCAGGGTGGGGCTGGGTCCTCCGCGGCCGCCCCCATTGGCTGGGACGCCGCGTTATGCAAATGACCACGTGCTGTGGGGCTGCCGGCGCGTGGGTGCGGTAGAGCCTCCCGAGGCCGGTGCTGGATGGGGACGCAGGGCCCGGCCCGGCCGCTCCTGTGAGGTGGCAGCGTTTGGGTTTCATCGGGAAGGGAAGGCGGAATAATGAGGCTTTGTCTGTCTAACGGGATTACCGGGATCCGTTTGTGCCAGCGCAGCACTGAGGTGGTGGGAGGAAGGGGCGGTGCAGGGGCAGAAGAGAACAATGGGTCCCCTCCGGACACGGCAGCGGGTCAGAGCACGGGGAACTGTCCCCTCCCTCCTGCTCAGGCCTCCCTCCAGCCAAGGCCATGGAGCCTCTGCCAGCAGTGCCGGCAAGGGGAGGCCAGCAGACTCCAGAGAGAGGGGTTGCTTCCAGTATCGATCGATGTAAATGAGCGGAAATTCAGGTCGACCGAATTGTCGTAAAAACATGTTCCAAATCGAAGAAAGCTCGCCTTAGCAATCGCTAGGGGGATACTGCAAACACAAACTCCATCGTCCTCCCACGGGTAGCACCAACAACATGAGGGTTTTCTCCTGGCGGGATGGCTGTCGAGGAAGGGAAGGTGGAAAGGGCATTTTCTGAGAGCTTAGAGCTCTGACACCGACTCGGCATGAGTGGAAGCCAAAGGGAACAATGTCCTCCCACCGGCGTGCACCGCAGGGCCGGGATGGCAGGAGGGAGACGCTGCCCCAGGCCCTTCCCCGTACCGCTTCAGGCTTTAGAAAAGAGAAAGGAGCTAAAAGCGGGTAAGGAGTGCGATGTGGCCCAGCCGGGTCCCTGCAGACTCCCAGCTCCCACTGTCACAGCAGTGGAAAGCGCAGCAGCCTTTGTGCTTGTGCGAGGAGAAAGATTCAATCCTTCCCTTATTTTTGTCTGTGAAACGGATCAGTGACCCCGGCTCCAACTCGGATCGACTGCCTCGCGTTCTCCAGGGACAAATTAATGGAGACCTATCACTTAATTAACAAACCCTCACTCACAGCATATTAAACTCGGGCTCCGCGCTGGGAGTGCAGGCGGGCAGGGGGCGGCGAGCAGGCACCGAGTGGGACGGGACGACTGCTCCGGGCGGGCAACACGGAGCCGATGGGAGGGGGGTGTCTCCGGAGCAGCTCGGAGACACGACACGGACTGCGAGTCTCAGCAGGGGCATCCACGCGCAATTCAAACTCCACGGCCTAATGATAATCACAACCAATTAAAACAAATTAAGTAAATGAACTGATTCCAGCCATCAGCCTCTCTCAGCCCGCAGTCACCCGCCGGGCACGTATCGCTTGCGGGAGAGCCCCTTCCCAGCACACCGAACCCAGCCCAAGCGCGACGCGGGGCTGGAGCCGGCCAGAACCCAGCCGGGCGCTGCACCGGAGCCCGGGGTCGCCGCCACCGGCACAAAGCGGACGCATCGACACCCCTCGGCAGCGCGTTACCGACCCCCCCCCCCCGTCAGCGGGCCGTACCGGGCAGTGCCGGGCACGATCGCTCACAGAACCGCCGAGCAGAGCATTTCCGCCTCGCCCTGCCCGCTGCGGGCAGCGCTGCCGGCGGGCCGTGCGCGTGTCACCGCGCCCCGTTACCAGACATGCTGGGTGCCGTCCCGCTGGCCACGGGCAGGTTGGCGGGTGCGCCCCGCCCGGGCTAACGGGGAGAGCCGGGACGCCGCAGTGCGCAGCCTGGGCCCCGGCTCGGCTTTGTCTGGCAGCCGGGAGCGCGGAGCGGCGGAGCCGGACTGTGCCGGTGCGCGGAGCGAAACGGAGCGGAGGAGCGGGGCTGGGGCCTCTCCGCGGGGGCAGGCAGAAACCGGGGCGGCTTGCCCAGGCCCGGGGCCCCAGCCCCGTCGCCACCGTGCCCCCCCCCGCCCCGCAGCGGGCTCACCTGCCAGCCGCAGAGCAGACATTCGCTGAAACTCCGGCTCCTGGAGCCACTTCCACATCCTGCGGAAGGTCTCCCGGCCGGATTTGAGCTTGCTCCAGGGCTTGGGGTTCCTCAGCAGGTCTGAGAGGGTCCCTTGAGAGCGGCACAGCACCCTCTGGGCGAAGATAGCCTGGGGGATGCTGTACCGTTTGAGCTCGGTGGTGATCCTCTGAGCTACTTCTTTGGTATTGATTTCTTCCATTTGCCCTGAATTACTTCCACTGTTGACCTGCGAACCAGTTACAGAAGGGTTTTGCTCCCTGGCAGAGCCCAGGATCTGCCCGTGGCTCTGGGCATTCAAGTGGGCATGGGGGTGGTGTGGGATCCCGTTGATAGGCACCATGCCAGCGGAGGTGGGGGTGAGGTGTTGGTCGCCATGCCTGGCCAACATGGCAGGGTGGTGGGCTTCAAATCCATTTGGGGTGAGCATTTTCTCGGCGGGCATGGTGGCACTGGGGTGAGCGTAGTGGGGCAGCCCTTGCTGGGAGTTGTGGATGCTCCCCAGGCCCGATCCAGACAACGGAGAGAGGCTCTGCCCCATGCCGGTAACATCCTTATGGTAAGGGGTGTAGAGATTGTTCATAGATGCCAGACCCCTCTCGTCCCGCATGAGCGTGAAGCTGCCGCTCACGTTGCCCGGTATCCGCTGGTGGGGGTGGTGGTGATGGTGATGGTGGTGGTGGTGGTGAGGGAACTTGTCCGAGACCGTCGAGATGGGAGGTAGAGGCTGCAGCGGGGTGAGCGTGGTGTAGGTGCTGCTCATGCTCATGCCGGGGGGGGTCTCGCAGGCCATGGTCATGGTGGGGTGCAGGGGGCCCGTCAGCGCGTGGTCGGGCGGCCGGTGGTGGTGGTGGTAGTCGCCGCCGTCGAGGATGGACGCCATGCCCATGGAGCGCGGGTGTGCGGGCAGGTGGCTGCCGCGGTGGGCCACGGCGCTCCGGTGGTGGGGGCTGCCGCTCATCAGGTCGGCAGCCGCGGGCACCGGCTCATGGCTCACCCCGTGCAGGTCGCCGATGTTCTCCATCGCCAGCTGCGCGTTCATCGTCGGCCAGGCGGGCGGCCGGACCGCACATCTATCTGGTGGGGAGCGGGGCGTCCCGGGGCTCTTCGCGGCGGCCGCGGGCCGGTTCCTCCCGCTGGCTGGCGGCGGCGGGCGGGCGCTGCGGGCTGGCGGCGGTGCTGCTGCTGCCGCGGGGCTGCGGGATCTTCCTTTTTTTTTTCCTTTTTCCCTTCTTCTCGGCTCTGTCTTTATTCGTTGCTTTCCCCGCTGCCGGGTGACGCCGCCCGGCCGGTGCTCTGGCCCCGCTCGGTCAGGCCGGGCCCCGCCGCCGCGGCGGGAGCCTGCCGCGCCGCTCGCCCTCCCGAGCCATGGCTCTCTCTGCGCTCCGCCGCCCGGGCAGCGGCTCGGCTGCTGCAGCGCCGCGGCCGCCACAACGGCGCATGCGCACGGTGTCCCCGCCCCGCCCCGCCCGCCTCGGCCCCTCCCCCTCGTGACGTCACCGCCCCTATTAAGGAGGCGAGCTCCGCGCGGCGGCGTCCAGAGCCGGTGGTGTCTTGCGCCGCCGCCCCGGGCCCTAGCGCCCCCCTCCGCCTCACTCCCGGGCACAAAGGGCCGAACCCTCCCGCACTCCGCCTCTCCCGGGCCGGCGGCTCCCGGGTATCGGGGCTGCCCGCCCGCTCCGCCCCTTCGGTGACTCCTCGTTTTCCGTGAGCGAGGAGCCTCCTCGCCCTCACCTCACAGTGAGCTTCCGGGGGGGGAGACACCCTGCCCCCGGAGCCCGCGGGCTGTGCCCGTCCTATGCCCCTTCTGTGTTCCCCCTAGTGTCCCGCTGTGTGCTGTCCTACAGGGAAACTTCCCTTTAACCGTCCTGGGAATGAGCGCTGGGAGCCCCACAGCGCTGCGTCCGGGTCCAGCTGGGTTCTCCCCTCGCTTCAGCTCCCGCTTACCCTCCCCAGAGCTCTTGTCCCGTGTGTCCCCCTCCGAGATCCCGCTGGGCCCAGCCAGTCGATGCGATGCTGGGACCTCCCCCTTCAGCCCCCTCCGGAGACCTCGATAGCCCGGGGGCCGTGCCCAGCGGCCCAAGGAGAGCATATGCCCCGAGGCGCCCGGCAGCCGGACGTGCCGCTGGTTTTCTTTTATTTTTTTTCTCCCAAAAGAAAGAAAAGGAGGAGGAGGAGAAAGAAAAAGCAAGCGCACCCGCCAGCCCCCCTCGTTAGCTAAGGTGCCTTTATGCTGGAAGAAAGGGCAGATGTGCCTATTGTTCGCCCATTAACAATAACGAACCACGCCGGGCAGAGTGCCGCGCGTCCGCGGCGCCGAGCTGCGGGAGGGACGGGGCACGCCGCGGGAGATCCGCGGGGCCGCAGCCGGGAGGCACCGGGCCGGCCGTGCACAAAGGCCGCCCCTGCTGCCGCCGCTCCCCCCTCTCCGCCGTCGGAGCGCGATGTTGCTCCTGGGCACCCGCGGAGCCGCCTGGGACCCTCGCCCCTGAGAGGCCCTGGGACGGCGAGTAGGTCCCCGCCGCGGTGGGGCTCACCCTGGGGACCGGGTGTCTTTTCTGTGGAGTGTAGGACAGGGCTGGAGCACCTGCCCCTGCAAAGAACCGCAGGCGGGATGCCAAGTAAAAGCACACAGCCCCTTTCCGCCGATGCCCGGTGTGAGCCGAGGTCTGTAACAGGGGGATGCCGCCTGCAAAAAGAGCCTAGGCCCCTTCCCTGGTGAGAGCCAGGAGACCGCTGCAGCAGGGCACCGACCCCACGGGGGATGCAGACCACAGTAGTAGGGACTGGAGCCGGTCCTCGGGCAGGAGTCACCCTGGGAGAGAGCCGAAATTGAACCCTGGGGTTACTTCCCTTGGAGCTGTTGCCCCAGCTCTATGGCCAAGGCCCCTGGAGGTTTCCCTGGGGGCGAGGGCGCCGCACTGCTCCGAGCCCGTGTTGGCACCCGCTCCCGCACTCGCTGCACCAGGCACCGACACCCCTCGCTCCACACTTTGAGCCCGAAGCACCGCGGCAGAGGCCGATGCGGGAGGCGCGGAAGGGCCTCGGCCAGGACCCCCGCAGGCAAAGCCAGGCCCGGCCCCGCTCCAGTCCCGGCCGCCCCCAGAAAGCACCTGGGGGAAAGAGGTGACCCAGCGGGGTGCAGGCATGGGGACCGGCCTCCCCGCACCGGGCACCCGCCGCCCTCCTGTCGTCCAGGCACTATGGAGCATAGCGGTCCCCCGTGGGGTGTTCAGGGGACTGTGCCCTGGGTGCCCGGATTGGGGGCTGCTGCTCGGGACCGGCCATGTGCATGTCTGCAGGTGCAGTCTGTGACAGTGTGTGTGCCATCCGTGAGCTAAAACCAGACCCAGACGCCGGGCAAGCTCGCAGGAAACTTTCAGAATCACGACAAGTATCTGCTAAGCAAGCCCGCATCATGAGCTTTTTTTTTCCCCCTATAAATTCAGAATTTCCAAAGAGGGTTTATTCATTTCCTACAATTAACACACACACGAGGATTTGTAAGAACTCAGCGCCATTGACCCACAGGTCCGAGGGACATCCGTTACTCACCTCCGATCACTCCCCCTGGGTGCACGAAGCTCCTCCGTATTTTATTTTGCGCTAAACCCCACATATACAGATCCCGCTCAGTTCCGGTCTCTCCAGTCCTTCCTGTCCCTAAACCGCTTTCACATCTCTGAATTTTTGTAATGTTACCGTTAACATACTCTCCGTTTCTTACAGAGAGGGACAGATGAGGAGAGGTGTAACTGCGAGAGAAGAAAAAACAGATCCGAAACCTAATCAATGATCTTAGGAAATGTTTAGGATAAAATAAAACAAAATTATCGAGAGCTTTTCGTGACCGAAGTGAACGGTTGCGATTGTTTCCCAGGCCAACGCGAGGTGATGTCACGCATCTAATCGAAACGTTGCCAGCTTCTTCTTCATCAGTATCTGTGTACAATTTACAGTTTAATTTAAAATGTTTCATCTCCACGTTTTTAGCGATTGGTTACCAAAGCGAGCACCTCCGCGGCTGTTCGGAAGTTACTCCCTCGAGTTTGTAGGAAATTACAGCATCAAATTTTTCTTCAAGCACTGAGCTCAGACCCATCCGCAGTTTATCTGGTCCCGAGATGCGCCGGCCTCTGCCGGGGTCCGGTTCCTAACCCCAGACCCGCACCCTCCTCTCTGCTCTCACACGCCTCTCTGCTTTCAAAACTATTTCTCCCCGCTACTCTTCGGGGGGATCCTCACGACGAAGCGGCCCTGGTGCGCAACAGCCGCGGCGCGGAGGGCAGCGCTTGGGCACTGTCCCGGCGGTGCCGCGTTCCCCGACGGTGCCCGGGCCCGTCTCTGCCGCAGGGAGTCCCGAGCTCCCCAGGTGGGCTTACAGGGGCCCGGGACTGGAGAAGCGAGACCGGGCCAGCGACCCGGCTCCAGCCGTCGGGGTGTCCGGGGAGGGCTTCCCTTTACGCGGACCCGTCCGGTTCCTCCGCGGAGTCCCCGGCCCTGCTGGTGGAGTGGGGAGAGCCGGAGAGAGATAATTTCGGTGCGGTAATCAATTACTGCTTGTGCAGTCAAGTACCATATATTTAACAGAATAATCGTTACCGCCCTTAAGTCTTTATTTGATCAGCAGATACTCGGAGCGGACTTAAAACGCAACTTTGCTTGTTTGAATTGCGTTGCGTGTGTGTGCTTTTTAAATCCGAGATAATGACACCATGAAACGGCCGTAATCTCCCACCTGACGCCAGCGAACACCGCCGGGCACCGGGGCCAGCCCGGACGGGGCGGCGCAGCCAGAGACACAGCGATCACGGTGCGGAGCGGACATGGGCTTGGGTTCTACTAATATTATTCTTATTTCCCTTTTTCTCCCCCAGTTCTCATTATTTGTTTTAATTGCGCTGCCCCAGCCCTGCGCGGCTCTCCGCGCCTCCTGCGCAGTGACAGCTTGCGGCATCGGGTACCCCCGCACGGGGAGCGTGTCAAAGGTGACGCTCGAAGGCTCCCGAAGCCAACAGCTGCCGGGGGGGATTAACTTTTCCAGACTTTCCCCTGTCGAGCTTCTTGGAAACTTGCTTGGCGACAAAAACACACACATCTGTCGGGGGCAGGCACAGAAAGGGGCCGCACGGCCGGGGCCGGCGGGGCAGGACCGGCCTTTCAGGGCAGCCTGCGGCGCGGCGGGAGGCACGGCGGGTGCCTGCCCGGGGAGGTGGGGGTGGTCCCGGCTCCCCCCGCAGCCCTCGGGCCCGGGGCTCCCCCCGCTCCCGGTCCGGACGCCCCCCGGCCGAGCCGCCTCGGTCCGTCTTGCAGCCGCGCTCTCTCGCACTCCCCGGAGCAAACCGCAGCGCTTGTTAATGAAGGAACTTAGGGAAGATTGCAAAACACCGTAAATAATTTAGCATTGTATTTCAGGAAAAAAAAAATAGCTTTCTTAAATCACCTCCTCAATATAACTTGCAGACTTACAGTATGGCCCTGGTAAGCCTAAATTTTTAAAGTAGCAATATTCAAAGAGACAGAGATGTCTGTATTAATTATTTATCCGCTGGTGCCTTCCTTCGTTTCTAACTTATTATTAATTAGGCGCCTCTAGTCTTTCGCAGAGAGCTCCACAGAGCCAGTTGCAGCTTTAAATATGAATTAAAAGCAAATCCAAGCTACTGTAATGCGAAAATTATTCCGTGTCTTCCATGGCAGAGATGAATAGCTGCGCAGATCAATACTGTGAAGCTATGCTCCAAACGACAGGGTTATTGATAGCTTATATTAATGATGTTAATGATGGAAAAAGGAAAACAAGAACCCGACCAAGTTATAAACTTTTTATCTGCTGAAACCCCGCAATCAAGCGGACGGGAGCATGAATTACGGTGGCTGGAGATAATAAGGACGTTATTTATGAAACCGGGTAAATGACTTCTGAGAGTTTGATGCCTTTGAACTCTGCGCCGCCGCCTGCTCGGATGCAGGTCGGGGCTGGACCGGCGCTGTTCCCCGGCCCCCAGGGTGCGTGTGATCCACGCGTGACCCACGCGCTCCCCGCCCCGGTGTTTCGGGTCCTGCGAGGATGCCCCAGGAAACTCGCAGGGCCCCGCCGCGGGGGGCGCAGGACCCGCTCCCGGAGCTCGCCGCCAGCTCCCGGCACGGGCACAGTTACGCGCGACGGGGACAGCTCACGAGGCCTGCAGCAGCCGCTCACGGCGTGCCCCGGACACGGGGGGCCGGGCTGGGCCTTCCCGCCCGCGGAGCGTGTGCCGTGGGGCAGGACCCGGGGCCTGTCCAGCTCCTCTACCCCCACGGACACGCGTGGAACCCCCGACACCAGCCCAGCGCCGAGCCGTGCGGGGCCAGCCGAACGCGGAACCCCCGGCGGGACCAACAGAGCCTTGGCCAGCGCTCGCCGTGCGCTCTGT